GAGCGCGGCGCCCGCGACGGCGCCTGCGCGGAGGGCGTGATCCGGGCACTTCGGGCAGGATGAACGCTGCTTTCCAAGATGGCGACGGAGGGAGGAGGGAAGGAGATGAACGAGATTAAGACCCAGTTCACCACCCGGGAAGGTCTGTACAAGCTGCTGCCGCACTCGGAGTACAGCCGGCCCAACCGGGTGCCCTTCAACTCGCAGGGATCCAACCCTGTCCGCGTCTCCTTCGTAAACCTCAACGACCAGTCTGGCAACGGCGACCGCCTCTGCTTCAATGTGGGCCGGGAGCTCTACTTCTATATCTACAAGGGGGTCCGCAAGGTACCGACCCGGGCGTCGCCGGGGCCCGCCAGCGCCGTGGGCGAAGGCCGGGAGCAGGGCGGTGACAGCGGGGGCCAGGGTGACAGATAGGGGTGGCCGTCGCTCTTACTTTTGAGTGGGCCGGTAACTCCACCGGGGTGCTCCTGAGGAAGGGGGATTCAGGAGTGAGCAGGGCGGTGGCGGTGGCGTTTCGAGGGGGTGGGGGCCGTGGAAAGGGACCGTGGGGTGCGGGGTTCCGTCTGGGAGGCCCCAGAAGGGGCCGGCTGCCTCCCCTTTGGCAGGATCTGTCAGGCTCTGTCACGGCCAGGGAGCGGGCCTGCGAGTCCCCGGAAGAGATGCCTCGCCTCCCGGCAGGGTTGGGAGTCTCGCTCTGGGTTAGAGAACGGGCGGTTCGGGAAGGTCGGGAAGGCGGGCCCCGGGCCGGGCAGCGGGGGACTTGAGACGAGGTCAGAAGGAGCTGCTCGGCACGAAGGGCTCCTCCGCCTGCTGCCGCACTGACACTTCCTGGGAGCCGCTCCTTCTCGTGTTAGCGCTTTCTGTTTACAAATACGCCGGAGGGAGGGCCGCTGTCACTGCCTCCGCCGGCGGAACCTCCTCGGGAGAGGTCGTTAAAGAGGGTCGTCTTGTCCCTGATAGTATGGAAAGGCTGATTGTTACGGTTGCGAGGTCGAAATGTTGTTTTCAGTGAACTAAGCTGCTTCACAAGGCTTCTGTGTGCGCGTGCCCAGATCAGCCCTGTCCGACGAGTCAGACTGTGTCCCAAACAGGGAGGGCTGTGCCTTAAAAGCTACTTTACAAGAACTATTCTTGGCGGGCGACTTACCAGTAATTCTGTGAAGTGTGTAATCGTCTTTAAAAATTCTCTCTTTAAAAGAAGCAACTTATTAGAGCTTTCCTTTCATTGGCAACGTAACTTTGTTGTCACTGAGCTCTGCTTTTGAGAGATGTGGTCTTTGACTTGACTCTTGGAAGGAGGAAGAAATTAATGCCCCCCACAGCTCCGAGGCATGAGAAAAGGTGGTACCAGATTAATTTATAACTGTTTGGTTAGTGTGAAAATAAATCGTACATAGCGAGGAGTGAACATTCTCTAAGATTTAGTATATCCAGAACAGTACGTTTTTGCTTGGTTCAAAACAGTAGGAAATGACAGTGGTATCTAAATGTAGCAAGTTGTCTCATTTGTTCAAGGTGAATCTTTTTCATTCCTGTTTGTAAGTGTGCCACTGTCTTTGAGGTACGCTGTTATAAGATCCTGAAAGAAAATCACTCGACTTTGTTTTTTTCTCTTTTGGAATTGAGAAATTGTGAGTCTTTAACAGTCTAGGAGCTGAAGTTTTAGTCCTACTCCCAACTTTGTCGCTGACTTGTTGGGTGACCTTGGACAAGTTATTTAACTTCTGTGCGCACCTCTTTAAAAAGGGAATGTCGCAGTACACACATTGTAATTTATAATATAATGACCGTAATGAACTTTAAAGACCTGAAACAGTAAATGTAAAATATCATTAAAATAAGCTTTAGGAGTTAACTGTCAAACAGGAAGCTGCTATCTCGACATCGATAATCAGGACCAAAAGGATCAGCTTTTTCCTTGGCAATAAGTTTAGAATTTTAAATTATTAAATTTTACTTATATAAAATAAAAAAGTGCTTGAAAACAAAATTTCCTAGCAATTATTAGTGTAGGCATTACACATATTATTTTTGAAGCGTCTAGTAGCAGAGTTACCTGGATCTGGGAGCCCCCGCCTGGAAGTATCAACTAGTGTTCTCTTTTAGTGCGATACTATCAGCAAAGGGTAAAACTAGGAGAGCTGTTCAAAACTACACCAAAAAATTATTGTAAACAAGACAAAATCTTAAACATGTAAATTTACCTTTAGTTGTATAATTCGAGCGCTATATTAATTTATTTTTTTGTAAAATTTCATTTTCATATGGTAATATCTTGTAGATATATCGTCATCATATGGTGGACATTTCAACTCTTCTAGCCATTGTAATTAAAAAAAATTTTCCCCATGAACGAGTTTGCATTCATTATTTCCGAGTAAAAGCGATTGTTTTTGTGACTATTTTCTGATTGTAAAACAGAGCAGGTAATTTCCCTTAATTAGAAACCAAAATTTACTTTTTGGGGTTAGGAGATACAGATCTGTTTTTGACAGTCGGTCATTTTGACTATCTTTTTTTTTCAATTTTTCCTTGAGGCACATAAAATTTTACAATTTTTCAGATCATTCAGAAGGTCTAATCTGGATGAAGACATTCAACTTAAATCTGTGTGTAAAATGAGTGAAAATAGGTCTTAAAAAACAAACCGTGAACTATGCTGCCTTGGCTGAAAGGATGGAGTCGTGGAGGAATGGAGTGGATGAGGAGGTAGTCTTAACATCTGAGCCGAGAAGGTAGTCTTGGCCCTTTAAAAACATTTGCAGGTCAGTTTCTAGAGCTAGAAGGGACCTGGGAGTTTATGCAGTCTCATCCCCTCAGAGAAAGTCAGGGCGAGAGAGCATGTGCTCATGGTTTCTTATGACAAGGAAAATGAAGCACAACTGAATCTAGAGAACTTTCTTAGTGAGAAGAGACTTATTGAGCCTTTGGTCACGTGGATGCCATGGATGCCGTATACTCCCAGCATTTCAGAAGTTGCCCAGCATTTGGCCACCTACACCTTGTTGGATCTCGGTGGCAGTCTTGAGAGGTAGATGAAAGCATCTTTTCACAATTGAAGTTCAGAATGGGGTTTTTTGTATGAGGAGATGTAGTTTTGTGAATTTATTTTGCTCAGCTAAAGATAACATGAACGTCGATTTAATACTGACACTAATCATTGCAACAAAGATTTGAGTGACTACTCTGAAGATTATATGAGGCGAGGTAATGTGGGGTACCCAGAGATGAGTAAGACCCTGTTTTTTCCCATAAAGGGCTTTGAATTACAAGCTTTCAACCCTTTTTATAGCATGCCTTGCTTTCCTCTTTTGAAAAAGTGGTTGTTCTAGGATAAAGATGCCAAAGGTAGCTGGGCTTACTGGAGCAACCCTTGCATTTTATGGAGACCTGTTTTTACATAAATGTGAATGGCAGCCATTCAGATCTCAGCTTTAATGTCACTTCCTCAGCAAATCCTTCTCTGACTTCCCAGGCTAGACCAGTTCTTTTCCCGGTTACGTGTTCTCACAGCATCCTATACTTTGCCTTTCTGGCGCTTTAAAAAATTTGTAGTTCTCTGGGTGACTGTCTCTTTGAACAAAGCTCCCTTAGAATAGAGACCGTGTCTTTTGTCTTCCCAGTGCCCAGCAGAGTGTCCAGCATAGAATAAAGCGTTCATGTCCATCTATGTCATACTTTAAAAAGATCTTTAGAAGCTGAAAACTCTAATCAGTTTTGGGTCCCAAAGTAACAGGTATTTTTAGTAGCTCACATCTTCTAAAAGACATTTAAAATTATTGTTAATAGGTTACAAATTTAGCTTTTTACAACTGGGAAACTGTGTCGCAAGAATCAGTGAAGTAATGGAAAGGAACCAGATGTCGCAGATTACTTTTGATCTACTTCCGTCGCCATGCTACCTACCAGATCTGTGTACAGACAACTTTGTAAAACTGTATCTACTCAGAATCAGTTGGCATCTAGTCACAGAGCCTTACTCTCCACCCCCACCCCCATCTTAAGATTCCAGGCCACAGAGATGTTGAAGCAATTCCCACAGTAGGTGAGGAGTAGAATTAGATGGCTTCTGAGGCCTTTTCACCTCCTAAGGTTGTGTGATTCTGTGCTCAATTTTTAAATGAAAAATTCATCTTTCTATTGGGAAGATGCCTTCACGTCTTGGATTCATTGCCTTCTTCTTGAAAAGGAGTTGGGTAGAGTGGACTGTTTGTGAAAGCAAGTTGAACACATTGTGATTCTAGGTCTTCGTGCTAGAAAAAGCTTTGATGAAGTCCGGGCCAGAGAGTTGGTTAATAACAGCGAAAATATTTTTAGAGCCAGAGTTATCCAAGAGGGAATTGGGTTGGCTTGGGAGAGAATGAGTATTCTGTGCAGAAAATATTCTGTCTCTGGCAAAGACTAGACTGCAGGACCCCCCGTTGGTGATGGAGGAATTCATGCTTTGTGCGGGGGGTGGGGATCTGGATGCTTCGAAAGGTTTTTTTCCACAGACTAGTTTTAGATGCTGGACTGCTCCAGAGAAGGTCATGTTCACACCTTTCTCCCCATTTGTAATTTTCACACCTCTGTGCTCCCCATTTATAGTGTAGAAGGAAGCTTAGACGCCTGGAACTTTTTATATCAAATGTACTCTGAGAAATTTTGTACTTAATTTAATAGGACACGTGGAACCGAGTAGAAATCTATTTTTTTCCCCATTAAGGGATACTTAAAAACTTCTGAAGTGGTAATAAATGTTTCATTATTTGACTATAGAATCTTAGATATTGAAGGAAAAACATCTTAATTTATCCTTACAGGAGGCTTGAGAAACTTTCATGTGATACCTTGAAGCAGAGGATGATAATGAGATTTTGAAAGACTCCATGGGTGGATGTTAGCAATGGCAAGAACCTCCCAGAATATATCAGTGAAATCCATGAGATAGTCATCAGCGTCATTCTTTTAGCAAATATTTGGGACACCTGCCAGATAGATGGAACTGCTCTAGAAGTTGGGTGTAGACAAAATCTGCCCTCCAGAAGCTGGTCATCTACATCTATTATCTTCAAGTTCATCTAGTGACTTAATTTATTTTTTATTGTACTCTGGTAGAAAACTTGAGCAAGAATCAAAACAGAGTTGGTGGATTTTGTCACTGACTAGTTTGGCTGTATGCCTAAAGAACCTTATTTTAAAAATAAATGTGAAGAGTTTTGTAGTGTGGTATTGGATGTTTTAGAGAACAATTTTATTTATATTTCAGTAAGGTTAGTTTGTGTAGAAATATGAAATGTGGCCTTATTTGGTTATTTAGGAGTAGACATCAAAAATAGAAATAA